TTGGACGGTGATTGGAGCATATTCGAAATCTGGACGGTGATTGGAACATATTATGAACCTGGACGGTGATTGGAACATATTATAAATCTGGACGGTGATTGGCGCATATATTTAAATCTGGACGGTGATTAGAACATATTATAAATCTGGACGGTGATTGGAGCATATTCGATATCTGGACGGTGATTGGAGCATATTATATATCTGGATGGTGATTGGTGCATATTCGAAATCTGGACGGCGATTGGAACATATTATATATCTGGATGGTGATTGGAGCATATTCGAAATCTGGACGGTGATTGGGGCATATTATAAATCTGGACGGTGATTGGAGCATATTATAAATCTGAACTGTGATTGGAACATATTATAAATGTGGACGGTGATTGGCGCATATATTTTAATCTGGACGGTGATTGAAACATATTATAAATCTGGACGGTGATTGGAGCATATTCGAAATCTGGACGGTGATTGGAGCATATTCGAAATCTGGACGGTGATTGGAACATATTATAAACCTGGACGGTGATTGGAACATATTATAAATCTGGACGGTGATTGGCGCATATATTTAAATCTGGACGGTGATTGGAACATATTATAAATCTGGACAGTGATTGGAGCATATTCGAAAATTGGACGGTGATTGGAGCATATTCGAAATCTGGACGGTGATTGGAACATATTATGAACCTGGACAGTGATTGGAACATATTATAAATCTGGACGGTGATTGGCGTATATATTTAAATCTGGACGGTGATTGGAACATATTATAAATCTGGACGGTGATTGGAGCATATTCGAAATCTGGACGGTGATTGGAGCATATTATAAATGTGGACGGTGATTGGAACATAAATCTGGATGGTGATTTGAGCATATTATAAATCTGGACGGTGATTGGAGCATATTCGAAATCTGGACGGTGATTGGAGCATATTATAAATCTGGACGGTGATTGGAGCATATTATAAATCTGGACGGTGATTGGAACATATTCGAAATCCAGCATAAACAAATAGCCAGCTGCCAACGTTTCTGCAGTAAAAATGACGTGTACAAATATGCGTTCATTGGTTCAGTAAGTTATTTAGCTAGCTGACTTGGAGGTTGAAGGCTTGTATTCTTTGTTCAGAAATCTCAACATACTGCTTACATTATTTTTAAGACCCACGAATAAGTCTTCATGAGCAATTTCTAGTAACAAACCAACCGACCAAGAAATATGTTACAGCGATGTAACAGGAATGGTTTATATAAAATCAACGATGGCGTCTGTAGTGACATTTCAACACAGTTATTGTGAATATGACGTAATAATATTACTTACTTGTTCATGGCATTATTTACCAAAACCACTCTCACAGCTTTTCGGAACTTTCTCCTTGCCTATAAAACAGATTACAAATATTAGAATATGATATATGAGATTGGGTAGTATAGTATTGATTCGATATATATCGCACACTGCATATTACTGCTTTATCCAACGATTCGTACGCACATTACTGCTATACCCAACCACGTGACGTTCGCAAGTATCTACTTCCATTTTTTCCAAATAAAACTAACAACAAGTAAAATTGACAGATTCATAATTACCTCCTCTGGCTTCATAATGTCAGCTGTCGTAATGTTGTTGTAATCAGGCAAAATGTCTGTCACGTTTCCTGCGTCAAGGTAAGCATTGTGAACAAGTTAGAATTGTACGACTCCAGATACTAGTAGTAAGAGTGTCGTTGATATGACGATATCGTGTTTTAGATATTACACCCATGAATCAGAGTTGACAACACAATGCACGGAAATAAATAACAAATAAACTTGACTCGATCAAGTATACACACGTATATATGTGGAGAGGAGGACGGGCAAACATCACTCCATTAACGTCAAACCACATAAAGGGACTGTGGTCAAACCACATAGAGGGACTGTGGTCAAATCACATAGAGGGACTGTGGTCAAACCACATAGAGGGACTGTGGTCAAACCACATAGATGGACTGCGGTCAAACCACAAAGAAGGACTGTGGTCAAACCAATAATAGGTCATGGTTGAAGCCCGTACTAGACAATCTGCATTTTTTGCCTAACATGGTCTGACGTTAATTTGTTCGTCTTCTTCTCCTCTGAGCATTACCATCGGTCTACTAGTCTTTGGATCTGTCATACCAACTTCACGGTAACGTTGATGCTCTAGACTATTTGACTCTCAACGTGTATGTGTGAATAGCACGCAAAGTTCACCCTAGCAGAAACACTTACCGACGCCATACACCTTATATATTAACAGCTACATACAATAAAGGCAACGAAGCATCGCTCATTGCGATGTGTTACACTGTATGAACACTGGTAGCACAATTGTCAATGTACTATTAATTAGTTTACATGTGTATCGCCTACTGCAAAACAACATCCAATGTAATAAGAATATTTAGCGTAGCTATTTGTCGATAATGTCGTGTCATTAAAAAAACACGTTTTTTCATATTTCTATTCCATGTTACGTTCAGGATAGAGTGTTCTTTTTCGTCGTGACCGACAGGGACAATCATAGATAAACCACCTTGTACAATATGTGCAATTTTACAGACCACACACGTCGCCATATGTTATGTTGGTTCTGTCATTACAGAATCATGTAAATTTAAATAAGTTGAAATATGTTCAAATTTGGAGAAGAGAAAATGTCTGGCTGCAAATGTAACCAGTGGACGAAGGTGTTCATTCGCTGTAGTTTGATACGATATTGTTATCGTACTGCGAGTCAAATAACGCAACAGATTGCAAAATCAAACAAATACGCGATGACGTCACACTGACAGTACATCCAACAATGTACTTTATAATGTCTAGTTTTCACTGGGTTTAAATTTCACTGATTTACCATTTCAGGCATATTCAGTGGGTTTTAAAATTCACGGTTTTATCATTTAGATAATTTGCACCATGCTGATTTTATATATTCACTGGATTTTAATTTAGCGCATTTTCAGTCAGCGAAATAAGCAAAATTAAAACCCAGTGAATAATTAATCCTTTTACAGTAACACATTATGTGTGATAACAAGAGTGGACCACGTGACCATGGATTCCTCTGTAACACGTATAATATGCGGTTAGTATGCGCACTGCTCATTTGCGATTTAGGGTAAATACAATTCACTCTCATCTAGTATCACTCTTTTATAGTGGTAGGTACATGTCCTATTGTCACGAGTCATTGTCCTGGTCTGCCACTAACGCCCGCTCTCAATCGTATGTTTTTATTACAGTATATTTGATTGGTTGGATAAACATATTACTGTATATTTGATTGGTTGGATGAAAATGACGTAGGTCGCATCACTGGATACATTCTTCGTGCACTGCCTTTAAACTAGCCAAGTAAACAGAGATTATTGTATTTTTCGAGATGCATATGATATCCAATTATATAATACTAGCATCGTCGCTAGGCGACATTAGAGTAACATTTATAACTAGTTAAATATCGCAGAGACACTGTTTGCAAGTTGACGATCAGTACAAGTACGTTTATTTCTATTACTCTTAATGATCTCGGATATTATTAGAGTATGCTGATTTTGGGAGGCGGTAGGAAAAAATAATAGCCTCATACACCATAGTTTATGTAATGTGTCATTATAAAGTGCGTAATCACACTGGCGTCACAGTGGAGGCAAGGTCGTTGATAACTAGGGTGATATCGCCATAATAAGTTACAATGTTGCCTGTATATAAGCGTAATGACCGATTATATTTCTATATCCCCCTTGGCGTGGGTGAAAGTAATGACGAATCTAGATAGCTAAAGCAATAATAGTAAATTCATCAGTGATAGCACACTGTGCCTACCTTTGCAGTGTCAGTCCGCGTATAGCACACTGTGCCTAAACATAGTCCTTATTTTCAACATCCATGTCATAATTAACATTCTAATCCACAAAGATGTGTATTTACCATGGTAATGGAATAAACAGATATTATGACGTCATAACATCCAGTGACACTCGACAACAAATATTATAGTCACAACGACTACTAGTCGACTGAAGTTGAGGTAAATCAACTGTCAGTACAGAGAACGTCTTGTTTTGACAACTTACAGTGAGGTGCGTCCGATTGTTGTCTCCAAACAATAGCTAGGCAAGTGTCTAGCGTTGCAAGAACACAGGATTGCATTCACCAAGTCATTTCAAGCAAACACACAATAGACAAAAAGACAATTGTTGTTTTTCTTTAACGTCCTCGCAATAGGTCATTAATGGGTCACATTTTGTAAATAATACACAAATACTAATTATTTGGGGTCACATGATCCATTTACCTTGACCAGGGGTGCGCAAAGATTCGCCAATCATGAAGAAAAGAAGCGGTTTAGTATTTACTCAGATTACGGCAATTATTATCAATACATGTAATTCAAACATGTTGTGTTATCACGTGACCATCTAAATGCAAGGCTTCACAATGCAGGGTGAATGGTAGTCGGTAATCGTAGTCCTTGGTAGTTATTGAAACTGTTAGACTATTTATTCAGACATTACATTGATAAAGGGTTGCTGCTGGAAAAACTGGTTATTTTGAATAACTACCAGAGACTACTACGATTACATCCTATCATTTTATATATTTCTATTATGTTCATCGACCCTAGCTGTTTTTTTCTGTATTAGTACTTTTAAACAATTCGGAGAGGGCGGGACTGTGGACAAGAGACAACTGACGTGTTTATGTTGTATTTGAGGAACTCATAAATGCGAACCAATAATATCCACAAAACTTGCTGTCCTAGGAATTAAACCAACCATTAGATTCCATATACCCATAGTTTCCGTAGATATTTATACTGCAGTGAAGTATGCCAGTGACTCCCATAGAAGATATAGCTCCGTCCAACAATAATACATGGCCCATAGTTACAGTAGATATAAGACGAATGACGTACCGAAAACATATCTGATGTTTACACAGTATTGTTTGATAAGTCCGCCAGTTTGGTTGCTTCGTTAAATACAACAGCAAACCAAGCACAGGGACTAACAAACAAACTGAAGTGATTACGTCCGGTATGACTTTGATGGTAATTATTGGAAGTGATAGACCCTTTATTCAGACATCACACTGATAAACATAAGACGAATAATGACATAACACTGAGGATAATTATTAGATGATATGAATGTGGAAGAAAAACACCGCCCCAACGTCGATCTTTTCGGGCCCAGTTTTCAACCAGCTTCGGAGCACCCCACCCCATCCAGGTGGTACCATCCGGAATATTCTTGTATGATCAACAACAACAATTTAAAGCGGGGGAGTCGTCACCTGCATATGCGTCAGGTAGCCATAGCGTATCATTGTTTACAAACAAGCGTTTATCCACGAGCCTTTGCGCTTCTAGCGTGTGTTGTTATCGTCGCTTGGGACTCAATTTCCGCGCGTGCGCAAATGACGACCCTCCCTCTTTAATGTCCCTGGGTAAAATTTGTAACACCTGTTTCAAAGATTCGGGTTTATTTATTTATTTATCGCATCTCGTGTCGTTGTTAGAATTGCGAGCTATTCTGGATTTATATTATGGTATGCTCTCACGCCTCTATTTGTTCAACCATGGTTCAACTGAGACTACAACAAAGTAAAGACGTGGACATAACAATGCATATTGTGTTCAAAATGGACAAATGGTAACGCGTTGTGTTAGCGTTAGTGACATACCTTGTCACATTTTGACCGTGTAGTGCTGTCAAGGTCATACCGCCACATATTGACACCATAGTGCCGTCTGTCCCGTCACATCACCCCAATTGACAATTATAATGTTGTATGATAACAGCAATGCCGACAATTGTACGGTACTGAGAGCATTGGCTGCATCTATGTTGTATAATTTTAAACGTTGTGTTATTGGATGAATTTGTCAGAACATAGGAAACAATGTATACTGGTATCCTAAACAAAGCGTGTTGAAAAACATGGGTACTGTAGGAAGATTTGCATAGACAACAAATAATACATTCGGGTATGTGCGTCAACAAGATGGGTACCATTTTATAATGATTTTACAATAAAATATCCATTGTATTTAAATACAAATAATCCCCGTACCCATCCCAACTATTCCCGTGCCCATCCAAACTATCCATGTACCCATCCAAACTATCCCCGTACCCTACCAAACTATTCCCGTACCCATCCAAACTATTCCCGTACCCATCCAAACTATCCCCGTACCCATCCAAACTATCCCCGTACCCTACCAAACTATTCCCGTACCCATCCAAACTATTCCCGTACCCATCCAAACTATCCATGTACCCATCCAAACTATCCCCGTACCCTACCAAACTATTCCCGTGACCATCCAAACTATCCCCGTACTCTCCCAAACTATTCCTGTACCCATCCAAACTATCCCTGTACCCATCAAAACTATCCCCGTACCCATCCCAAACTATTCCCGTGCCCATCCAAACTATTCCCGTACCCATCCCAGCTATTCCCGTACCCATCCAAACTATTCCCGTACCCATCCAAACTATCCCCGTACCCATCCAAACTATTCCCGTGACAATCCAAACTATCCCCGTACCCTCCCAAACTATTCCCGTACTCATTCAAACTATTCCCGTACCCATCCAAACTATTCCCGTACCCATCCAAACTATCCCCGTACCCATCCAAACTATTCAGGTGACAATCCAAACTATCCCCGTACCCTCCCAAACTATTCCCGTACCCATCCAAACTATTCCCGTACCCATCCAAACTATCCCCGTACCCATCCAAACTATTCCCGTGACAATCCAAACTATCCCCGTACCCTCCCAAACTATTCCCGTACCCATCCAAACTATCCCCGTACCCATCAAAACTATCCCCGTACCCATCCCAGCTATTCCCGTGCCCATCCAAACTATCCCTGTACCCATCCAAACTATCAACGTACTCATCCAAACTATTCCCGTACCCATCCAAACTATTCCCGTACCCATCCAAACAATTCCCGTACCCATCCAAACTATTCCCGTGACAATCCAAGCTATCCCCGTACCCTCCCAAACTATTCCCGTACCCATCCAAACTATTTCCGTACCCATCCAAACTATCCCCATACTCATCCAAACTATTCCCGTACCCATCCAAACTATCCCCGTACCCATTCAAAATATCCACGTACCCATCCAAACTATCCACCTACCCATCCAACCTATCCTCGTAACCACCCAAACTATCTCCGTACCTA